CGGAGTTTGTTAATGACCAAACTCTTTAGAGCTTATCCATTTCAAAGAGAATAAATCTATTATGTAACCGTATTAATGTAATTTTAATTTATATGTTTAAGTTAATATCGATTTTTTATGTTTAATAAAATTAAAAATTATATTGTTTCCAATTTTATTGGGACTCTTTTGTTTTTTACAAACTTAAATATTACTCTATTGAAATTGTAAATAAATATTATTTTTACCATGAAAATATAAGAATGTGCGTAATCAATTTTGTCATTAATTTCAAGGAAAAAAAATACACAACACGTGCTTATCCATTTCAAAGAGAATTCAAAGTAAAACGGAGTTTGTTAATGACCAAACTCTTTAGAGCTTATCCATTTCAAAGAGAATAAATCTATCATGTAACCATATTAATGCAATTTTAATTTATATGCAATTCAGTTTTACTAACACGTGTGATTAGACAATTTCATTTGATATTAAACTCATTTTTTATACATAATAAATAATTTATTTAATATATTATACCGGTAAAAGTTGAAACACAGTAACAAATATAATATTGTTCTAATTACCTAACATAGAGATCTTAACACGTTTTTATTTTATTATGTAAATCAATACATAATGAGAGTTATAATTTGACATGACATCCACTTGGAAAGAATTCCAATAATTTTGGATTCAAAATTAAACATACTTTAGAATTAACTCTGATTTTTATACTGATATTTATATTGTTTCCTTTGATGGGACTCTTTTTTTTTTCGATTTCATAATTTGCATATTCTTATAAATACGAATGTAATGTTCATTCTCATCTTCACAGACAAAAAATACAATCAGCTTTACAAAATCAACCGTTCGCATTTTCGAAACAAAACAATGGACCAACTATTTGGACCCATTAGCACTGTAACTAGGACCACAAGGCCTATGTTAATTGTTCGAATTATCAGAATATACGTGCGGAAGTTCGATTCTGCATACCGAAACTATCTTGAAATTGTGCTTCATGATGAAAAGATTATCTCAATTTTACTTTTTTTTTTATATATAATTATACTTTGTTATTTAACTTTTCCAAGTGCTAATTAGATTAAATGATTTTTTTTTGTTTCATTGTGTACAGTGGGACCACATTACTGCTTGAGTTAGATCTATGCATATAACATGGTTCTTTTTTTTTTTTCCCAAAACGATAGAGATACTATATTAATAAAACCGCACAACGTGCGAAGAGAAAGCAGCCAAAGGCTGAATAGTACAACCAAAGACTGAAAAAAACTGGGAAGCAGATCCAAAGATCGCCTAAAGCCTGACCTAGCAACGCTAGAATAACAAATCTCACAAACTAAACTAACTAACAACACCGACAAAAACTAAAAACTAAAACAAGACTCCCAACAGGAGAATACCTGAGTGTCGGCTCCCAACATGATAACATGGTTCAAGAATAAGAAATATGTTGAAGGTAATGTCATTGGAATTAGAAATTATCAAGTGGACAATAATGTTGGTGACTACCGTCCGACTTTACATGAGTTCAAGCTTATATTTCATGGAAGCACCGAGTTCATAAA